TCGAATCATCTGTGATATTCATTTAGTTCTGGAAAAAGAACCAGCACAAAAAGCACCCTGAATAGAGCTCAATAATCGTGAACAGGACAATGCACTGCAACATTCTTAGAGATAAGGGAGTGTTTTTTTTTTGGAATTTTCCAAATTATTGGTCTGGAGCCGGCAACTAGAACTAATGGTCCTTTTCATCTACTAACACAATAACTACTAGGGCTTGTAGTTTTTATGGCTACAAATGCTTTAAGAGCAATTAAATCCACTCAGAAAAAAATGAAAAGACTAAATGGATCACTACCACCACAGGGTTCCTTCAAGGTTTGGGATGGATGGCCATATAAAGGGGAAATGTTGGCACTATGAGGTAGTGGAAACCACGCTAATCCAATGATTACTCGTTCACACACTACCCACATACATTCTAACTTAAACTTAACTCATTTTTACTTTGAAAGTTTTAAATTAGCAGAGCTCTCTGTCTGTGAGATCCATACCTTTTATTATTTGCTGATAAGAATCGTTTATTTCACTACTAGCACGAAGAAAAGAAGCAAAAGAGAAAAAAAAGTTGCAGATCGTCTCCCTGAATCTCTTCAAGCAAATATTTACCAAGAACCAACATTTGATGCTTGAATTTAACATGAAACAGGATATTTTTATTGTTACTATTCACTGTGCGGACAGAATCATACAGATTTGAGATTAAGTCATGTTCAACAAACATTGCAAAACAGACAATATCACGATGAAGTCAGCTAGATGGCTAGGTGCCTAACCACATTGCAAAATGAAAATAAAAGCAATAATTCTTCGCTTGAATTATTACTAACAAAACTAAATCAAATTCCACAAACACGCTTCAGCCCAATATTCTATATTTTTCTTTGAAAGAAACTGAAAATGGGAAAATTTGAACGCAAAATGAGTATTTTAAACCAATTGGTCTTTTGCCCCAATGGAACACTCAGCCCAATATTCAACTTGCATAGTCCCAAACAATCCCATCTCACTATGTTAGTTGGTTTCATCATCAAACTCTGGGGGGAGCCCCCACCCCCCGGTTGTCAACATAGCCAAACAATCCATCCACTTGAATTCCCTTACGCTGATCTGATTGATGTAGCTGAGAATTAGCTAGCAGATTCAAAATAGAGTAGGGCGGTGGACCAAAGGGAGTCAAAATTCTCCAATAGAGGCAGTTACCTACTGATGCAAGAACATAAATTTCATGTACAAACACATCTGGGCTAAAACTGCCTATGCAGACAAATCTCGCTCCTGCTAAATGCCGGAGCCCGAAAGAAGAGTCAAGCTAATGGTGTCAGAATCCCCAAAAAGAACCCAGAAAACAAAAACAATCAAATCCAGATCTCCATTTACATATATTGAAGTAGCAGAATCTTTTGTAAGAGACCAAAGCAACAGAAATTTATTGAGATTGAGCGAAAATCAAAAAGGAAGCTAGAGATTCACAAAGAGAGTGAAATGGGTTACCAAAATTACGACCGACGATGCAATGCCAGGTGGGGCCATGCCTCTTATCGAACTCCCTCTTTATCTGCTCCGCGACGTCCTTCTCGACGGCATACTTCTCAAAAGCCTAAACAACAAGAAACGAAACAGAAACAGAAACAGATTGTCCACCAAAATTACCTGTGGATTGATTGATTCGATAGAGATTGAAAAGAGGGAGAGAGAGAAGCACTAACGGCTATGGCAATGTCAACAGCCTCCTTCTGCATGTCCCCGAACATATCGGCGCTCTTGATGACGACTTTCCGGGCGAGGGGTGGCGCGGAGGAGGGTTTGCGATCCTCAGATTCGGGTTTCACCATTAGAGATGCAGGATTGGTTCTCTTGGCGTCTTGATTCATGTTGTTTGTGAAGATTTTGGGAATATATTTTGGGGGGCGAAGCAACAGATAGAAGTAGGGAGACGAATTGCTCTCGCCCTCAGCCACTATCACTCTGCGTTTCTTCTATAAGATTCCCCACGCCCAGTGATCGCTCCCCCCCTCGAATCCTTTCTTTTTTTCTTTTTTAATTTTTTTATTTTTCTTTCTTTTATTTTTCTCATAATTTTCGACAAACATTTTATATTTTGTATATTTTAGTTAGAGATACGTGTCTTAGTAAAGCATGCAGTGAAATGGTACAAGATCGATCAACATATATTTTTTATACATTATCATTAAACTTTTGACAAGTAAAAGAGATAAATGCTAACTAGTACTAATTATTTTTCATCAAACAAGTGGGTGGGTCGCATCGACGAAGTCGACATTGAAGCATGTCTTGTATATCCAAAACTTGATTTCATTTCGAACGATGGAGGAGATGAGTGGTAGATAAGACTTATTTGGTAACGTTTTTGTTTTTTGTTTTTTGTTTATCGTTTTTAATTTTTTACAAATATAAGTGTTTGGTAACCATTCATATTTTTCTTTTTCTTATTTTTTTAAGAAATGTTTCGAAATTGTGAAAAAATTTTAGAAAAAGAAAATTCAAATTTTTTTGTTCATGCTTTTTTGCTTTTTCCAAGACATATATAACAGTATTATTTTATCATTCTTGACTTAATCAATGAGATTTTCTTTTAATTTCTCCACCAAATTTCTTATAAATTCACAAAATTTTCTCTCTTTAAGTGACTTAATTTATCTAAAATTCTACTAATTCATTGTGTATCATGTCATGCAAACTTTTAATGCATCAATTTTAACATTAAAGAAATGTAGAATTGAAAAATGTCAAAACATAAAAAAAATTAAATAAAACCCTAAATAATGAAGACGACATGACAAACCATAAACTAAGTGTATGCCATTAGTTTCTGCTTAGTTATTTTTATTTGTCTATATATAGAGAATTGTGTAAAGTCTTTTTCAACTAAATTAATGAGAAGTTTCAGTTCCCAGTTCTCAGTCTACCTCTAATATGGTATCAGAAGAACACATTTCCTTACGCGTTATTTTCTCAGTCTTTTTCAACCGAGTGTTAAATCGGTTGCTTCTTCATCTCAAGCTTCTGCGTCGAATTCCAGGGCCCTGGATTCTCATGCAATGGCTATTTCTCAACCTGGTTTTGATATGGCTGCTCAATGCCAACAACTCATTCAACCCCTTCAATCGCAGTTGAACAATTCGAAGACCACTTCTGGTGATGATGCTTCGGCATCTTATATGGCAGGTAAACACTCTTCTATTTCTCCTACAACTAAAGCATGGATTCTTGACTCGGGCGCCTCTACACATATCTGTTGTTCAAAGTATCTTTTTATGTCACTCATATGGATTTCCCCACTGGTTGTGACTTTGCCGAATAAGACTAATTTCACAGCGGAGTTTGCTGGTTGTATTCGACTTTCAAAGGCTATTTCATTACATAATGTCTTCTACATCCCTGATTTTCACTTCAACCTCATTTCCGTCAGCTCATTAACCAGGGATTTCTCTACTTTCCGCATCGTATTTGCTAACAATTCTTGTCTTATCCTAGACAAGTGCACTTTGAGAACGATTGGCAAGGGTAACTTGCACAACGGACTCTATTTTCTTGAGGATTTGATTGCTTCAGATGATGTTGTTTCATTACCTCTTAGTTCTCATTCATCTCTTACTGTTAGTAAGCCGGCCTATGATGTGTGGCACAGAAGATTTGGGCATCCCTCTCATATCCATTTGAATGCTCTTCAAGATGTATTGTTTTTTTATTCTAGCGCTTGTAAAAAACTTTTATGTTCCATATGTCCTCTTGCCAAACAAAAGCATCTGTCATTTGATTCACATAATAATAAGTCTGCTACAGCTTTTGATTTGGTTCATGCTGACATTTTGGGCCCATTTGCTCAACCTACATATCATGGCCATCGCTATTTCCTTACTGTTGTTGATGATCACAGTAGATTTACATGGACATTTATGTTACGCAGTAAATCTAATGTTTTGAGTATTGTACCTCGATTTTTCACGTATGTTGAGATTCAATCTGGGTTGCATATCAAAGCTTTTAGATCAAACAATGCACCTGAGTTACTTTTTAAGGAGTTTTTTTTTAGAGAAAGAGGTAGTTATTCATCAGCTTTCTATGCTTAGTTCTTTTTATTTGTTTATACATAGAGAACTGTGTAAAGTCCTTTTCAACTGAATTAATGAGAAGTCTTGGTTCCCAGTTCTCATTATACCTCTAATAACTACATATTCTTTGAAGACATTTAATAACATTTTGAAATTTTATGAACTAATATGGAGTATTTTTAAATTTTGTACGTAAAAATGAACCTAAAAATTTTCCCCCTTAATTCCCTAGAGCTAGATTTGATAGCCATTTGATAAGATTTCCACCCATCATAAAAGTGACTGTGGATGACGATTTAAATGTTGTTCAACCATAGTTTAAGTGGACAATACCCTTTAATACCATCGTTTTTGTATATTCAACAAAAATTACATGCAAAATATATTGAAAAGTATTTTATGGAAAAAAAATTAAAATAAATTCGTGTGTTGTGATCATTTTGGAAAAAAAAAAAAAAGTGAAATCACTTTTTTTATAAATACTTTTGGATTAATTACTAATTTAGAGATATTGGATATGGGAGCATGGTTTGTTGGCTTACATGCAAAATTATTTAGACACCATTTTGAAATTGTACCCTCGTCCCGCCCAGTGCAACTTGCAATATGCTGATGATTGATGACTTTTATATATATATATATATATATATATATATATTTATTTATTTTTCATTTTTCATTTTTCATTTTTCATTTTTCGAATAAAATAATTTTGAAAATTTATTTTTATTTAAAGTAAATAATCTTTTTTAAAATTTACTCGAAGTAAATTATTTAGACTTCTATATATACTATATGTTTATATTTTGAATCATATTTCATTTATTGGATTCAAATTCACCTATAAAATATAAAATAATGGCAACTTAGTTTTATTTTTAAAAAAATACTAAATATTTCAAGTTTTATTATTGTTTTTTTTGTTACATTTTGATATTTATTAATAATCAAAATTAGAGTTTCTTTTATTTGATTTGAAATCAAAATTTAAGTTTTGAAAGGTTTTTAATAATTTGTAATAAAACGTATTTTATAGAGAGGTTAATAAAACTTATGTATTATTCTTTATGAGTTACTATAAATACATCTCTAACTACGCTCTCAAAACACAACTCATTCAAATATACCTTCTACTTTCTCTATTTTGCTCTTTTAAGAACAATTGATCAAAAGAGGGGATTCTTTGTTGTGGAGCTTTGCTACAGAACAGTTGTTGTATCCTGGGGGGACATGCTAGAGAATAAATGCACCGTACTGGTGGTTAATAAAAAAAATATATTGAGTCTCTTTAAAGGGAGCGAGATACCCGCGCCTCAACCTAATTGATTACGTGTTTGCTTATCAATATTTACTCTATTTAACTATGTTATTTGTAATTCCCCATCATTTTCTATATTTATAGACATAATTCAACTATATTTTATTTTAAACCAACTAATATCAAATTATGAATATAATAACTTTTAATTAATATTTGTCTTACACGATCGAAACAAACTAATATCATACTCAATTATGTATTATGATTTTTTTAATATTTACCCAATTTTAATATTGATCATAAATGCACCTAAAATTACATTTGCGACATATTTCTTGCCCCTAAACTAGGATCAACTTCGACCATAAATTTTCAATTTGGATCCTAACTAATTCACCCATTAATTTTAATCAACCTCTCAAATTAAATATGACTAAGCCACAAAATCGACAATTAAATAACTTTGTCAAAACTTTCAAATTAAAAAAAATTATAGTGTCATTTTGTATGAATCCTATCAATTTCATATATCCAAATATATGCTTTATAATTCATTTGACACATATTGGTAATTTTTTTCTTTTTTAAATTTAACATGAAAGATTGCAAGACTCATCTAAATTTAAGGTGTTACTTAATGAAATTGAAAACTTAGGATAAAAATTGAGAAATATTGTCAAGTTTTAAGGTTAAATTTAATATTTTTCCATTACGTTTTCATAAAAAAATGCATTATATTTATATAATTTGTGCCTCTTCTTATATAAAATTATGTTTCTAATAGAGTCTAAGTAGTTTTAAATGACTAATATATATATATATATTATTTATTTATTTATTTATTTATTTTTTAACTCTTAGTTCTTTATTTACATATCTCTTTTGGTTTTTTTTTCCTTTAAATTTTTGTATGGTGCCTGTTTCGGTTAGGCATTCAACCCCATTTCAGTGCTGATCGGTAGTGTTATGCACCACCCCTCTCTACTACCCTTACAAAATAAATAAATAAATAAATAAATAAAAGTTCCATAGCTCACGATAATCCCTTAACTCAAATAAATAGTTAAGGACATGGAGGGGCTCTTTCAACTACTGCGAAATTCGATGGACAGTTCTAAATTTAGAATCAAATAACGTGAATGTTGTATTTTTTGGATTTTGACAAAATATTAAAATTGAAGTTTATCTTATATTGGAAATATACAAGTAAAGAAGTTATCCCACAATGTAATATGTGTTTAAGAAAAGTATTTCTAAAAATCAAATTGATTAAAAAGAGGTAATAAATTCTATTATTATGAGTGATTTTCACTAAAAATATTTTTAAAAATGCTTAAACTCAAACTTGCTCGCACCTCTGTTAAACTTTTTTCTTATTATCAGTAAATTTAGAGGTATGCCAAACTTATTAAAATAAAATATCGCATCAGCCTTTTTTTTCTCTCCAAACATTAAAAAAGAAAAGGCAAATATTTGCAATTATTGGCATCCACTTTTGCTGGAATCAAATTGATAAAAAGAAAAAATATATATATGAACGGTTTCAATATTTTTTGGAAAAAAAAATCTTAATTAATTAATAATAATACAAAAATTTGGCACGTTATGAATCTTAGACAGGAGACAAATGACGAATGATCTGACCTGACTTAAACGGGACGAATAAGGCAAATTGTGGTCGGGTCATGGTGGGGCCCACACAATTCTTTTATATTAATTAATCTATTATTTATTTTCTTGGGGCCTTTGAAGATCCAGAAATTTCTGATTTTTTTTTTCGAGGCTGAAGATCTAATAATTTCAAACGCGTAATCAAACCAAAGCGATATTGTTTTAATTCGAAAGTTTAAACTCCCATTACTCACATTTATTTTACTGAAAAAATTCAAAGCAAAACTTCGTTAATATTAAAAACATTAAATGATTTTTTTTTTATAAAAAACATATTTCATTAAGAAACAGGAACAATTTTGAGAGACCAGAATAGTCCGCCAATCCGAGATATTAAACTCCCAACAATTACTTTCCTCAAATTCAAGAGCCCTACGCTCAAGGGAGTGGAAACAACAATTGCTCTCTCTATCCGAAACATGAAACACCATAAGAATTCTTCAAACTCAAGATTTCGTTGATAATCCACGCAATGTCATTAAGATCTTCTTCTTCCCTACGTAACAACTTCACCACTTCAATTGAATCAGATTCTTCTAGGATTGGATAAGCCACTCCACGACGCAAATTCCATAAACCCTCCAAAAACATTAAAGGATTAATTGATTTACTAATGACCATATTATTTTTACTTTAAAGGTTATGCAAACTTATTAATATATTTTATTTCCTAATATACGTTTAAAAATGACTTAAACTCTATTTTTAGACTAAGAAAAGAAAAAAATTTGTGGCACGACACTCTTAAATAATATAGTCACATCATACAGGAGATTTTAAATGTTATATAAAGTATAAACGCAGAAATCTCAAATTTATAGAAATTTCAATAGATATATTAATTCATTTTGTAAAAATATTATATAAAAAGTGAAGTTGGATTTGAAATTTTGAAAGGAATGGTTCATCTTGTCCGTGGCCCCGTAGAGACGCGGTGTGCTTGGATTCCACTCGTTCTTCATCTTGTTTGTTGGTTGGTGGCGCAATCATCATCCCAAACGAGATTGATGTATTTCTAGAGAATCCCATGAGATCGATTTATTTTTAAAATATTAATTTCATTTTCGTAATTTCAGTTTTAGTTTATTTTAGTTTCGGGACTTTCAATTTTTGTTCATTTTAGTCGTAACCATTTTTTTGTTACAATTTTACTAAATCAGATTGAAATGACCATTTTTTTTCTTCAAAGTATAAGAATCAAAATGCACATTTACAAAGTACATAGACTAAGATGAATCAAAACTGAAAATCCATGATCAAAATATTATTTTAACCTAAATTTTATTTGAATTTGAATCTTATTAAGGGGTTAAAGTTCAATATAGGGCAAGTAAATTTAGGTTTCTCCAGAGAATAATGTTCCTCAACATGTCTTTTTGTTGGACTCTTGTTTCGTTTATAAAGCGAATAATGTTACAAATTATTTTCAAATAAATATACAATTATTATATCATATAAAAGAGAATTCTCTTGCTTGACACATAGCTAATTCTAGACTATTCTAATTTATGTGCTGTGTTTTCTTTTTAGAACAACGTTGTAAATAATAGCTCAATAATAATTGACATACATATAATATTTTCATTAATAATAGTAAATAATAGAATTTTAAAAGATGGTTAACTTTTTCATCTTCTACCTATGTAAATAGACATATATCTCCTATCAATACATTTTTTTCATTACCTTTAATTCTATTTCATTTTCAAATTTAGCATGTTTATATATATATATATATATATATATATATATATATTACAAAATTTAGCATGTTTATTAAATATTAAAAAAACATTTTTTGGACCATTATAATCTTTTTTTAATTTATAAATTTACAAAACGTGCTTTAGAAAATTAATGGTAAATAGTAAATTAATTAATAAATTATAAATAATAAATATCAACCTAGAATCTAAAAAGTTTATTTTTTAAGTACATGGAATCTAAGAAAGTTAGAATATGTTTGATTAATAATAACTAATAATAGAATTTCAAAATTTTTGTAACTTTTCCACCCCACTAATATAAATAGGTACTTTTTTTCTAAATTAATGGTAAATAGTAAATTAATTAATAAATAGTAAATATTAACCATGAAATCTAAATAGTTTATTTTTTCAAGGACAACGTTAAAAAATTGGAATATGTAAATGGTTTGTTATATTTAATTTATGAAGAGCTTAATTATCTTAATTAATAATAACTAATAATAGAATTTCGAAAGTTTTAAAATTCTAAAAGAATTGTAACATTTCATGATCTACTAATATAAATATTCATTTTCTTCTATCATTTTCTTACCAACATTTGGAGCTATATTTTTAGCTCTCTCATTTTCTTGCTTTAATATTTGAGGTAAATATTAGATAAGAATATTTATCTCAAAATGAAATATTTAAAAAAAAATGACTTCATTAAAATTTCTTATAAACTACCCTAAAATTTCCAATTTCATATATAATAATTTTTCTTTTCATACAAAGTTAAGAAAAAAAATATTTTTAACCTTAAAGTATAACTATAATTTTTTAATAACAAATAAGAGGTATGTTAATATAAAAAGATGAACAAATTTTATAAATGAAAATAAGATAGAATTAATTTTAATTATTAATAAAATTATAAATTATATCATATTAAATATATTGATGTGCATGTCACATGGTAAGAGATATTAGGTTATGGAATGATAGAAGTGATTGCAATTACTGTAGAGCAATTAAAATCGACATTTTTTTAAAGAAGAAAACAGACACGAAACTTTCAAGCAGTGATAAAATGCTAGAAATTAAGCAAAATTTATTGCCATCAATGAAATAATGAAGCCGAATCGCATGGGGCATGGACCTTACACTTGACAGACATTGTCCCAAGTCGTGGGACCTCGACCTCACAAATAAACCCATATAATTTCACGTTCTTACCCCACTTGAATCATTCATTTTCATTTTTATCCCATTTATTTCTAACATAATTTCAGTAGGATCCTTGACTCACTAAATTCATTAAAATAGGTTAATTACTTTTAAAAATACAGCCACATATTTTAGAAGTATAATATAGAAATTAAAGCGAATCAAAATTAAAAAGTAAAAAAGTTAAATAAAATAGCATTTAAAATTAAACCCAGTAAATAATATATTGATTTAACTAAATTATTTTATTAGATATCTGTTTCAAAATATGTTTTACGAAGTGTAAAATGTTTTATTATTTGTGTTACGTGATCTTTTAATTTAAAATTTTGTATAAAATCATTTTTTAGTACAACGAGTGAGAATAGCTCTCGATCAGAGACAAATAATAATTACCACTGAATTAAGTTAAAAGGCTGACAAAATCATTATTTTTTAAAGTATAGTTTAATTAAAATATTTTGTATGTCTTGTAGGTAATAAAATAAAAGCGTCATAATAGAACAATAAAAGTATATACATTTTCAAATGGTTTTTAAATTTAAAGTCAAATTTCAAATAAATTAGTTCGAGATGGTTCCTTTTCTTGAAAGTCTTAAATACATGAAGTATATCAATTAGCATATCCACGATCCACGCTATAATTATAAAATGGCGCAACACTTCTAATTTTATATTAATTATAACTATAATGGTCAATAATTATTGAATATTTGTCACATTCTCAAAGTCATAGAGTTGAAAACCTCACCTCTATAATTGCAATGATATTCTAAAATTGAAAACAATGTAATATTGACTCACTTAATAAATATCAAAATTTAGTAAAATATTTAAAATATATATATATATATATATATATATATATACATATTAACATAAATAATATAAAATAAATAAATATATAATGTTTATAATGTTTCATACCTTCTATTATTTATCATGATATGTCCACATGTATCTTTATTCTACGGGTCAAATTTCAAAATAACAATATAAAAAGTTTTAATCATAATAAAATACTCCTGTAATAAGAATTTGATTTCACATTGCTTTCAATGCTTTAAAATTTTTAATTATATCTCATTTTAGATTTATTTATTAAAAAAACACAATTGGAATTATATCATAATAGGCATAAGTTTAATAAATATCTCAGCAATTATATGGATGAAATTTGGTTTAGCTTATTAATATATATATTTTTTTAATACAAAACTACGTGGGAGTGGAGATTGGAAATTGATAGAATATTTCTAAAAATTAATAACAATTTTAATGGCGGAAAGACGAAATAATCCTCGCACGTGTTTAAAACTTAAAGCGTACGGCGAATGGAAAGCCCAACCATATTAAAGAAAGGGCTTATCGTTCTCACCTGAAACTCCGAGCTTCTCCTCTCCAGGCAGCCATGGCGGAACTCAGCTTCTTCGTCGGCGTAATAGGTCGGCCTTCTCTTCCACTCTCTCTCTATTCTCTCTCTCTTCGCCATCTCTGAATCTGATCATGGAGCTTCTTCTTGTTGAAGTCGTGCAGGCAACGTCATTTCCGTCCTCATGTTCCTCTCTCCGGCGTAAGTTCTCCGATCCTCTCTAGATTTCGATTTATCTCGTTCACAGCGAGCGATTTGGAGTTTTCTAAACACGAATTCCAAAATGTTACCAGCGCTACATTCCGGCGGATCTTGAGGAGGAAATCGACGGAGGAGTTCGATAGTTTTCCTTACGTGTGCACATGGCTGAGCTCCTCCCTATGGACTTACTACGGCATTGTAAAGCCAGGCGCGTATCTGGTCGCCACCGTGAATTCCTTCGGCGTCGTGGTCCAGTCGTTCTTCCTCGCCGTTTTCCTAATCTACGCACCGCCGCCAATGAAGGTGAGTTGCAAAATTGAGAGATTAGTTGACTGATTGATGGATCGATCGGCGATGGATATGGATCGCCAGTGACGATCGAGGTGCGTTGATTTTTGCAGACGAAGACGGGGATTCTGGTAGGGATTTTGGATATCGGATTCTTGACGACGGCGATCGTGGTGAGTCAAGCGGCGTTGGGAGAGGAAACGCGAATCGGAGCCCTAGGGTTTGTGTGCGCAGGCCTCAACATCATCATGTACGCCTCGCCGCTCTCTGTCATGGTAACGTAACGTCCTTGCTACTGGGAACTGTCTGGCTTTTACCAGACTAAAGCTTCTGCTCTCATCTCTCCCTCTCTGATTGGTGATTCGTTTTGAATTTTTTGATATTGGTATTTTTGGCTTTTAAGTCTTTACAAGTTCACAAATATGGACAGAGAGTAGGTATAGGAGCAAATATGTGATAGAAATAAAGTAAAATATATCTAATTTTTTTAAATTTGTCGGTCTAATTCTACTGTTTTGGAGTACAAAGGTAATAACTACGAGAGATGGTTTAAAGCAAAAAGAATAGAAGTGAAAAAAATTTCTAAATTTTAATAATTTTGCCTCTATGAATTTGGATTAAGATGAGTTTATATTTGGTAGCAGAACTTGCTTATTTTGGTCTATAAAATTGTTGGTTTCATCAACGGTATAAATCGAAGTTTATAAAACCAACTTTATAACTGTGCACTAATTTTTAGGAGAAAAAGTATTTATCTTCTTATACTTAGCTGAATGGGTTAATTTTGGTTTTATTTATTTATTTATTATTTTTTTAGTACAATGTGAGTGAGAGATAATTTTCATTTTATTGAACCATATAAAATTGTCTACAAGTGCATTACATAAAATTCAACCATTTAAAGCATTAACGGAATAATGTTTTTGCTATGTACTTTACTATTTACTGTTATTAAAAAGTTGACAATTATTTATTTAAAAAGAAAAAAAAAACGATATATTTATATTCTTTATGCATTCATAATTATTGGTCATGAACCTACCACCTAAACATAAATTATACCAAAACCCAAATTGCTTTAGTTTTTATTATTATATTTTATTTATTTTTTACACAATCGCAGAAATTTTTTTACTGTACTGAACACACCTGAAAAACAATAAAATACATTATCAAAATATATATCATGTCATAATGTAAGGCTGAAAATCTTCTAATAATTGAAAAGTACTGTTAATGGACCTGTTAAAGGCGGGGCCCGAAGTCCCATCCTTTATATTGGAAAGAAATCATTGCGTCTTTTTT